TCTAAGACCACCACCACCTCATCTTCTTCCTCGCCGGTGATTAAATCCGATCACGTGCTGGTGCCGCAGTACAAGCAGGTGAGCACGTCGCTGTCCCAGCAGACCAACAGGGGGACATCGATCGGTCGATACCACACCACCACCATCAAGCAGGTAATAAACACTCCTATCTTAGCTGGTATGTGTCCCATACAAGGTGTTTTCTGACTTAAGCATGTTTTTCTCCTCAGACTCCAGGCCAGCTGTCCCGTAGCGTACAGCAGGCGCTGAGTGCGGGCGCACGCAGGGTGAGCCACAGCTTCTCCACATCCTCCCAGCTCCAGAATGCCGTCACGGCCGCCTCGCTGGTCAGCAGGCCAGGTAAGCATGCCATGAGGGCAGGGGAAAAGGGCACCAGCAGCAGCAACCCAACCACCAATACCTGGAGGAAACAGAACAGCGGCACTGCAGGTAGATGATGCCTACTAAAAAAAATTTTTTTTGAAATCCGCCCCTTCCTGTCTCCTCATTTCCTGTATCTTCACATCTTTTTTTTTTTTTTTAGTGTATATATTGAGCTGATTGACTGCAAAGGGGCAAACCTGCAAAAATGAGGCAAAAGTGCTCCTGTTAATGTGTGAAACGCATTTTTCTAAACACATCAACAAAAATAGAATTTATTTTTAAAAGTTAGTTGAGACTAACCTGTTCCAGCTTGGGTTTCCCAGTTTTCCAGAAAAATATGGGGGGAAAAAAATTCAACCGTTTACTGTTAAAACGCAACTGTTAATTATTTGAAGTTCTATACTATTTGATTCATCATAAACGGTCATATGACATCACCCTTTTAACTCTTCTTGAAGAAGTACAAGAAAAAGCTTTTTATAATATTAATATATTATTAGGTGTGTAAGAATTGGATAATCTTAAATTACCAACCCTGTTGCTATCTACGAGGTGATTCATGTATGCTATATGGGGGTTATTTCATGTATGTTATATTTGCAGCAGCAATATTTCTTACATGCTTACAGCAGCATGTTGTGGATGTATTGGCAGTAGCAAATCTCGGTACTTGCTCTGCCGCAGCAGCAGCGTAGCAGATCTATTCCACCAAAACAAAATACATTAACATTGTCATGTACATTACCATGCCAATCCCTCCGAGAGTTATCATGACAGAACTATTAATTATTAAAATGATGTACCATTCCAGTCATGGACAAGTAAACTAAATACAACTACAACTAACTACATAAAATACAACTACAACTAAATAAATACAAATACTCTCTTTTTTTTTAATACTCATCACTATCATACAATACATTAAAAAAGTGTCAGTCTTAAATTGTCAACCCTCATTGTTGATTATTAAAATTTGGTATTATTTAATTCATTAAAAACCATCATATGACATCATCCTTTCCACTGTTCATGAACAAATTAAAGCCTCTTTTCTTTTTATCACTAATTGACAACCCTGTTACCAATCATAACTATCACTAATTAAAATTCTATACTATTAATCGGTGTGAATTAATCAAAAACTCTTATGACGTCATCTTTTCAACTCCTCATGGGCAAGACTCTTCTTTTAATCACTTCATCTTTCATTGATTATTAGATGTGTAAGAAGTGGACAATCCTAAATGGTCCACCCTGTTGCCATTATAACTATTGATTATCCAAATTTGTTAATTAATGTCTACTTTTCACGGATAAGTAAATATTTATTTTCTGTTAATTAATCTTGCATTATTAGGCATGTCAGAAGCAGAAAATCTTAAATTTCTCATCCCTGTTATCACAATTTTGTCATAGTAAACAACTGATTATTTAAATGGGTATGTGTAAAAAAAATAGCATCATTAATTAAAAAAAACACCTTGTAGTGTCATGACCATTGCCATAAGGATAGTAATTGCTATCAACCCTGTTACCATGCAACCTTGTTTTTAAAGGCATGGCTAATTTAGCTTGAAATGCAGGTCATTAAAACTCTTCAGACGTTCTTTGTTCAGACAAATCTTATAGAAATTTTCATAGTCATCCTTTCAAAATCATTAACCACTTCACATTCTCCCTCAACAGGTGTCACCATGGCTTATGTCAACCCCAGTCTGTCCGTGCACAGGACGACATCTCCGGTGGACCGTCAGCGAGAGTACCTCTTGGACATGATCCCTTCCCGCTCCATTTCCCAAGCGGCAAACACATGGAAATAGTGCCCTGAATAAATCATAATTATAATCCTGTTTTTTTGGACATTTGGTCGGTTATCCGTATCAGACAACCAGCCATTAAGCAATAATAAAAAAAAAAAAATTATTATATTTTCTCTCTCCTTTGTTCCAAGACCCTTCGTTGTACAGTCTAAGGTAAGACCCCATAGGCCAGCAAGTGTCCTAGACGAGAACTGTACCGGGATCAGTGTTCAAGAAGACGCAAGGACCTTTTCTACAGGCCTTTGTATCTATCTACTGAATCCCACCAATACACGTCACCCACAACTCCCAATTCTCTGCCCTCCAGATGGAGTAATTGCTCCATTATGTGAAACTAGAGCCTCCGTTTAATGTTTTTAGAGGCTCATGGACACTTTTTCCACAGGAAGTGGAGGACACAAGACCGCAGAGTTCCTGCGTGACACCAGGGATTGACCTTTTTGTGGACCATCTACACGCTATGAGACCGCTTCAGCTATGATTTTCCGATCCACAGCGTCTCTTGAACAGATATGGGGAGTGTATGTTTGTGTATTTGATGTCAGTACATTGCTTTTTTGTTTTTTAGCTTCACTGTGGACTCATTCTACCCTTTTCAAAATGGCCTTTTTTTAAAGGCTACAAGTTTAAGGAATTGTTATACTGTTGAGGTGGTTATACATCTGCTGGTGTAGTGTGTATTTTTAAATACTTTGGGTTGTTTCTTTTTTCCTTTGTAAGCTTATAAAAGACATTTAACCAAGAATTGTGCATCAGGGATGGTTACAGAGATGGATGTAACTAACAAAAAGCAGCAGCCGCAACAGGACTATTTCTAGACCTTCATGTTTGAGCGATTTGTTTATAAGATGAGCCTGACGGTAGCTTGTTCTTTTTTTTTTTTTTTTTTAATAGGAACAATTGATATATTATGTTGCGCTTTCAGTTACCGTTGTGATGTGCTCCCCCTTAGGCTTTCTTCTAACAGCATCTAGGTAATACTTGGATGTTGTGTTATTTATAAATGTCACTTTAGATGAAGGATATCCTGTTAGCTCCTTCCCAAATAGTTTCAAAGCCTTGTGAATTTAAGATTGGACTGTATTTAGGATGTTCAAATGCAGTTTTTTTTTTTTTTTTGTCTAATGCGCAGTTCATTCATGTCCTGTCTACCATTTTAGATCCTGTTGGAAGTCGTGGCGCTTAAGTCACGGCTTAATCTTTCCTTAAAGGAAATGTTTGGGTTGAAAGAATTACTGCTTATTGAATGTAGCACACAATCTTAGCTAAATGAAATTGAGTCCTACCTGTTAGGTGGTGGTCATGTTATTTTTTACCATCTCTTATTTTTCGTTTCATCTGATTTGATTTGCTAGCAGTAAGCTCGGTATTTTAGCTAAACAGTTATGTATGTTATATACAACAGCTCGGGTCCTTAGTCATCGCAGTCCAACGAACATGTCGAGTCAGTTCTGCTTCAGTCGATTTGTTTTTCCTTTTCTCGAGGTGATCTGTTCAGTGATCTTGAATGCCTGTGGAGTGTTTCGGACACAGAGGCCCCCGTTTCTGACTGCTGTTCTGACTACTGCCTGCTGCTGACAACTAACACCATTCCATATACCTGCCGTCGTTTATTGTGTAGCATCTCTTTTATGAATTGCAAAAAAACAAAAAAAACAAAAACTTGCAAAAAAAAAATCAGTTAATAATTATAATAAAAACTAATTTTAACCTGTTTGGTCTGTTGGGTGGGTGTATTTTAAGTGTGAATTTTTCAAACTGGAATCTAATTGAATGAATTTAATCAACTTTCGAGTGTGTGATGGAGTGTGAAATTGCCTTTGGTCGGGGTGGACAACATGTTTCAATTTGACATGAATGAAAATAAGGATGTGAGGGATATAGAAATAAATTAAGGAATAAAATAAAACTTGCAGTATTCTCATGTTCCAAACCTAACTGCAGTTATCTTTAAGTAGAAGGCACAATTTTTCAATTTATTTTTAATATTGTTGCAGCTGTATTCACACAAAATCATAGTGACCAATGAGTCAAAGTTCTAAAAAAAAAAAAAATACCATAAAAGTAGTCTTTAATGTTATAGAAATGTAATAAAAATATATGGTTTTAGAACAACATGAGTGCATCTGTTTTTTCCCCCCCACTTTAAGTCCCTGCATTGTGAGCTTAGTAATTTTATTAACAGAACCACGAAATGTTTACGAACCGCAATTTGTTTTGTGATAACAGAAGATTCAAGATTCTGATTATGTTCAAGAAAAACAATAGTTATTGAGGGGGGGAAATAAATGTTTTTTTGTGTGTTTTTAGCATTTGAATTGTTATATATATATATAGTATGTTACGTTTAATTTTCTTAAAAAATATAATTAAATACATTACACTTTAAGTATATAAACAGTATAGGAAATAATATTGAAATAAATAAAAATGCTAAATAATTTTGCAAATTTCATTAATTTTGGATGCATCTTAATCGTTACAAATAAAATTGTATTACATTGTTCTTCGGCCACCTTGCACTGTAGATATCAGTATCATCATGGGCCAATACAAAGATCGGTCAACCCCTACTTTCTTATTTGAGTAGTGTATTTTATAGTTTCTCCATTAATCTATTGCTATTCTGCCTCAGACTGTTCTCCCAAAACAATAAGACTGATCATTTTCCTCAGTCGTGACTGGAATTCAAATATTAGGTCTATCCAAACAGGCAAACACTCCCAGCTGCATGTATTTTGTACACTGTGTTTCTTTGTATTTGCACACTTTGTTTTATTAGCTCGTGTGCTTTTAGCTCTTTCCCATCTGCAGCCACGGATGTTCTGCCACCTGTTGAATGGTTGGACGTGTTGGAAGGACTGAACTGGAGCAGAGTACGGATGAAGACCCGGCATGGTTCCTGAACACCAGCGCCCTCCGGATAAACCAAAGACTTCCTTTGAAGACGGATAAGTCGCCTCAAGTTGGTATCATCGTATGGCATCAATCCAGTCACCATGACATATAGAATCACCCCGAGGCTCCATATGTCATACTTCTTAGGGTCATACGGCATTCCCATGATGACTTCTGGTGGAGTGTAGGCTGCAGAACCACAGAAGGTATGACTGAGCTCTGAAGGGTCTTGAACACAGTGGGCAAAACCAAAGTCTGTGACCTTAACTTGTTCTTCGGCTGTCAGCAGAATGTTTTCGCATTTGAGGTCCCGATGGACGATATCCATTTGGTGGAGGTAGTTGATGGCACTCACCATCTGAGAGAACAAGTTTTTGCTTTGGTCTTCTGGGATGCGGTTCACTTCATGTATCTTCTGAAGGAGATCTTTTGCTGCAGCTTCCATCACGATACACAGTCGCTTACCAGCCACCTCAATTAACTCGTGCATTTGGACAATGTGGTTGTGATTCACTCGTCTCAAAATCACCAGTTCCCTTGGGAGAAACTTCTGGACAAAATCCTTTGGGGCCTTTACGCGGTCCACAATTTTGATGGCCACGTTACAGTGGTGCTTCTGCGAGGTGGCGAGCTTGACTTGGGAAAAACTGCCTTCACCAATCTCGGCTATGAATTTGTAGCCCATGCCTTTCAAAACGTCATTAACAGACATTGTTTTAAATCTCAAAGGAGTTTACAACAACCACATGAATACTTTGGCTTGAGTTTGGATCACATTCCTCACCCTTGCTGCCAAGTATTTTATGTAACAGGGATTTGAATTATACTGCATTCTGAGAGATATCAGCATTCTAATTTATGATGTCATATTAGAACATATACAAAATGGTGTCCAGGGGCAACTGATGGACAAGAAGAAACAGTCATTTAGCCCTCAGGTTTTTATTTGTACCCCATTAAATCCACATTATGCTAATATAGTATTTTGTTAATTTTAACAAGACTTGACTGATTGATGTTGAGAACCCTATGATCATTTTAGAAAAGGTGCTTAAACAAGTTTTTATCAATTGTTGTACAGTCATGGCCAAGATTTGGCAGTGACATAAATTTTGTGTGCAAAGTTTGCTGCTTCAGTATTTGTAGATTATTTTTCCACATGTTGTTTCTATGGTATACTGAAAAACAAAGATAAGCATATCATAAGTTTTAAAGGCTTTTATTGGCAAAAAATATATGAGGAGTCAATATTTACAGTGTTGACCCTTGTTCTTCATAACCTCTGCAATTCGCTCTGGCATGCTGGATATTAGCTTCTGGGCCAAATCCTGACTGATGGCGATCCATTCTTGCCTTAATAGTTCTTGGAGTTGATCACAATTTGTGGGCTTCTGCTTGTCCACTCTCCTTTTGAGGACTGACTACAGGTTCTCTATGGGATTGAGATCCGGGAAGTTGCCTGGCCACGGATCCAAAATTTCAATGTAATGATCTT